TCACCAAATAGATTTTTTGGAATTTTATCATCACCACGATCATCAAACAAACTAAAAGCTTCACGAAAATCAGGAAGATCATCTTTTGCAGTTGGCATTTTTCGTTGTTGTTTTTCAATAATAAAAAAAAAAAAATTAAAAATAGTTATCTAAAACTAAACAAAATTCATTGTCAACTCATTGAACTGGTCTACGATAATCAATTGCAATGTAGAATTAATTTTACTGCTGAAAAAAAAAAATTTATAGTATTATAAAGAAATTGCTAATTTATATAGGTTTTTCTTATTTTGAAGATTTTGTCTGCTGTGATTTTCTTTACTTGATAATGAATATACCTTGTAACATTTCGATAAGTTCAAAATATGAATGTCAATATTCAATTATTGTAAGAATTCATTTTATAGAGTAAATCTTCATTTTTTTTTACATGTCAACTTCATCCTCGCGTGGTACTATATCTTATTAAATCACATATCTAAAAATTGAGGTTTGTGAAAAGTGAATTAGGAATTATTCTTCAGTCAAACATGCGATCGACACTAACGTTTTTCCTTATCATCTAGTTGAATGATTAATAACTTATATAATTCTTTTGATTTATAAGTCATACAAAAATGTACCAAGATCAAAATGCTAAATACTATGTAGATATTGATTAAGAATAATAATAAATTTTTTTGAATAAGCCTGATTTATCATACGGATTTAATATCGATTTTTTTTGCGTAATGGTAACTAACCTGAAGAATCCAACTCATTTTTAATAAAAATTTTGAAGAGAATAAAATTCTCATTATATTCTCGAAGTTCAATGAAAAATTATCTCTATATTAACCATTTAGTTAAAGGGCTTGTGTATATTATAAATTATCAAACTTTTTCTCTTTCTCTTATGATTCTAGTATCACAGCATGATATCACTATAAATATATGTTAAGTTGAAAAGAAGGAATTGTAGATTTAGAGGTCTGTAAGAAATCATAGATTCTTTATATTCAAACATTATCCGAATTCTTATTTCTACCAGTCAATTCATATTTCTTGTTCTCATAGCAAAAACTTCTTAATCAAATGATTCAGAAAAGCTTAAAAGTAAACTTTTTTGTTATTTCCTATAGGAATCTACACAAAAAAAAACTTTTGAATTTCTTTTAAAATTGATGGAAAACTGTTGTAGGATGCCCGGAGACATGTCATTTGCTACTAATTAACGTTTTCTATCACTCAGTGCAACTATAAGAAACTTTAATTTTCCTTAAACCTTTGTTGGAAACAAATTAGATTCTTTATGCTAACGTTCAAGCGTAAACTTTTCTGGACAATCTTCTATTCTGTCTCTTTCAGTTTTACAACTTTTAATTAAAAGGATTTTCTGAAAATTAGGCAAAGAAATATCATTAAACCTTATTGTGAACAATAACCATCAAACCAAAAATTAAGACTTCGTATTCGAAGCGTCAAAGTTTGTTATTTTTTTTGGCTTGTTAATGATATCTAAAAAATATTATATTATTAATATCACAAAATATTGACTAAAATTATCTTTAAAAATTCACCGAGTTATAATAGGAAAAAAAATCATTTCTCTTTTTTTGTTTTTGGTTTAGAAGTAAAATTGAGCGGTCATTAAATAAATTACAAAACACAACGAAAAAAAAAAATGCAATATAAATAGAGAATAAATAAAATAAAAATCATGATTGTATTGTTTTTTTATTGCAATTTGATTGTTTTTTTTTTCTTCATTCATTCATGGATTATTCACTGCACATTGAGCAAGTACATGTTTACAACACATGTCACAAACACGTACAGGTTTATTTGAACCAGTTAATGTTAATTTTGTACAAACACAAGCTTCACAAAATATTTGACCACAACTGAAATTACCAAAGATTATATTTAATATGCTTTGTTTTTTTTTCGTATAAGACAAAAGAAAAACTTTACTTTCGACAATGATGTTTTCGTCGAAGTGTATTAAAATCTTTTTTACATTGACAACATTCTTTAACATCTTCATCTTTCATCCATGTTGATGTTCGTAAAACATCTTTTTCACGAAATTCGTGTTCACGTTGAATATATCCTTCTAATTTTAAGGCTAATTCTCGTATAGTTTCTTCTTGATCATGAAATTTTTGTTCTGAATCATTTTGTTTTTTAATCATTTCTTTTTTATATGAATCATATTCCTAAAATTTTAGTAGCAACATAAAAAAAAAAAAAACTTAAATAATTCAAGAGAAATTTTTTACTTGTTTTATTGAATTTAATTCATGAATATCAAAATGAAGTGTAGAAACTGTTTCTTTTTCATTTGCTAATGCTTTTTGAAGACGTTGATGAAATTCTTTTTCAATACGTAAATCAGTTTCTAATGATGTTCTATATATATATTAGTATGTTTGGTCTTTATTATTTTAATTTAATAATCTACAAACTTTTCAGTATTCAATTTAGACACTGTTTGATTTAATTTATCATTTTCATTACTAAGTTTATGTATTTCGTTATTGATTTGTTCGATACTAAATACAAGAAAAGTGATGAATACAAATTCTATGATTTATTTCAAGATATATCTGAATATTTCACAATAAATTATTGTTGTTACGGCGTATTTCTATGCAATGTTTGAAGTCGAAATTCGAAAATCAGTTTTTCTGTTACTACGACATTCATTTAAAAAAAAATACTATTCATGCACATAGTTCTGATTTAAAAGCGATTAATCGATTGACGGACTTCCGTTATCATCCTATGAAATGCAACTATGGACTCTGCTGAGCATCAATCTGTAAACTACTTATTAGTTCTTACAAGTAAGAGAACTGCCGCTTTTTTCGACTGAAAATTTTTAGATATTTTTTTTTTCTGCTCTCTATATTGGACATATTTTCGAAATTAATATATATAAGTATAAAACTCAAAAAGCCGAAAAAGATGGATGAAATATTTTCGCTAGAAAACATATAAATTTACACATTAGTTCGTTGTTTTTAAAAACTGAGTTTCTGACAAAGAAAAAAGCAAAAATTTGAAAATTACCATCGAGTCTTTATCGCAGTACATCCGATCGAGTCAAAACTTTCTTCTGTTTACAATAGAAAGTGGTAAGAATGCCTGTTTTTTTTCATGTTTCATATTATGATATAACGCTGGTTTTTGGTAATGATCTTTGTATTCGAGTAGGAAACGATAAAAATAAACAACAAAAAACTAAACATTCCAAATAGTATCTAATATCTGTAAGAAAAGGAAGTCTTTGGGAACTTTGAGCCTACGATAAATTTTGCTCTACTTATCAAGAGCTTCAATAACAGTGAGGAAATTCCTCTTAAACAATAACCTATTCTCTAAACTTATCCTACGAACAAATAGCTATCATTATATGATTCGAATACTAGTTTACAAAACTATACTTTGTTTCTAATTCATTGATAGTTTGTCGTAACATTTGGTTTTCTTTTTCTTTATTCTGTATTTGATGTTCGCTTTCAACATTTTGAGTTTTTTCAGTCTAATAAAATATAAAATTATGATTGAAAAATAATATTTATGAAAATTTTTACTTGTAATTGTTCTGTAAGACGATCATTTTCTTCTTTCATACGATTATATAATACTGTTTTGGTTTCAATATCTTTTTCCATTGATTTTGTTGATTCAATATACTGATTATTTTGAGATAATTGACTTTGATATATATTTTCAATTTTCTAATATTTTCATATGAGAAAAAAAAAAAAAATTTTTTTTTACAGTAAGAAAACAATTTTCTTTCCTATTTACTTGTTTTGATATGCATTCATCGTCATATTTCTTTTGTAATTCATTATACATTAAATCAAATCCAGTTCGAGATCTTTGATAAGTTTCTCGTTCAACTGCCATATCAGCATTTAAAGTCTAAGTTAAGAAAACAAAAAGAAAAAAAATCATACATTAATTGTATTATCCAATGAGAAAAATAACTGATATGAGATTATTGAAGAAATATTCGTTTAACACTTACTGTATGAAATCATTAGAAGTTATTCAGAGAGATACTCCATGAGAATTAATAAATAAATGATATACAATATTTTAAATAGCTCATCTTTTTCAACTGGAGGTAATGAATCAATATTTTCTTGATACGAATTAGGTAGTACTAAAAAGTCAATGAAGGTTAACTTTACTATGAAACACACATAAAAATGAGCTAAAAATTTGGATTTATTGGTTTTAGATGATAGTCTTGTCAGATACATATGAAAAAACAAAAATATAGATTTTGATCAGTACCTCAGCTTTCTTAATAAATATTCCTAGGATAAAGTTTTTTTTTCCGGTAAAAGGATTGTAACATCTATATGTTTAATGATCAATTGAATTTTTCGGAAGTTTGAAATAAAATTAAAGTCTCTAAAATTTTTACTTACCTCAAGTTTTCGTTGATAAAATGATTGTATTTGTTCTTTTTCTGATGTTATTTTTGTTAGTTCTTCTTCTAATTGTTCAATACGAGTTTTTTGTTGAGCGACATTTTCTACTAGATTTTTATTTGTTTGTTCAAGTGTTTGTAAATTTTTTTGTAAATTTCCTACTGTTTTCCTAGTTTGTTTTTTTTTAATTTAGACACAAGAAATAAAGAAACATATTTAATTACTTACTGTAAATTTCGATTAAGTTCTTCAATATAATTCTTTTGATCAAGTATACTTGAAAGACGTTGATTATATGAACTATCTGGACTATTTTCATCTAATGTTTCTATACTATCTGTATTTGTTGTAACAATCGTATCATTATTTTGTGGATTTGTTCTTGTTATAAGTGATGTTGCTGCTGCGGCTGCTGCTGCTGCTGAATAATCATCTAATTCATCAATTGGATCTTTTATTGCACCTGGTGGATGTGCATTACTTAATGATATTGATGATATACGTCTTTCACGTAAATATAAACTATAATGTATAATTGATTCAATAGGATAATCAAGTGGTGTTTCTCTTAAACAAAAATTATAATCTAATACATTAAGACCAACAAGTAAACCAGGTATAATAATACTTTCATCAGATAATAATAATGCTTCATTATCATATAAATCTTTTAATTCATCTTTATGTTCAACAAGTATTTTAAAATAATCAGCTAAACGTTTTTGCATTAATGCAAGACGTAACCATGCACGTACACGACCTAATGATGTACGAATATTTGTCATTTCTTTTGATGATATTGATATTTCTGATATATGAATATCAGTTGATTTACGTGATATAAAATCAATAATTGGCCATAGATCTTTACGATTTGATGATGTACTTATTGGAAAAGTTTTTTTACCATTATAACCATGTAAAAGAATATGTTCGAAAACAATAAAAAAATGTTTCAATGGAAAATATTCTTTTTCTAGAAGACGTTCATGTTTAAAACTTGAATTTAATAAATCTTTTATAACTAGTTTAAATACACATAATAAATTTTGTCTTTCAATTATTAAATTATCTGAATCTAAATTATTAATAATTTCAACTTAAAAAAACTTAAAAATTAAATTTTTATATCTTACTTGGTTGTTCATTGGAATTAAATAGGTTACTTAATGAACGTGCCTCATTTGTTAATGAAAATGGCATCTTTTTTTAATACACTAAAAAAGAAAAAAAATAATATGTCAACAAATGATGACAAGAATCACAAGTAGTATAATCTGATCATATTATACTTTTCTTTTTTTTATCATTGTCAAGAACAAGATCTATTGGTTGTTAGACGCCATTTAACTATTTCTGCTATGCTACGCAGTTACATAAAAATTCTGTTTCTAGAGACATCTATGGGATTATAATTGAAAGGCAGTTTTGCAAAAATAAATTATCGAAAGTTTCTTTTAACTGTCGTGATAAAAAAAAAATAAGAACAAGACAACTCTAGAATAAGTCATAGTGACGTAGTTAAACGAAAACTAAAGGGAATTCGGTATACCGCAGAAGAGTTTTAGCTCTCCTATGAACGATTGAGATTCTCTTATGAAATGGTCCCCATAGCTAAGTGACGATATAGTCTGACACGTATCCATATACCAATTATGATAGGGTAAATTCTTCTACTACAAACAAAACTCTGAGGTAATGATTAAGAATGGTCAAGTTCCAGCTTGGATGTGGGATTGTGGTTGTAGCTGTTGCTATTTTCTTTGCTGGCACCTCCTTGAACAAAGTTTTTCCATTATGAACTATTTCTAAACAGTTTAGAGTAATTTAACTTGATATAAGTCGCTTAGAAGCACCTATATATGCATACTATAAACTGCTGCAAGCTACTTTATTGAATAAAGTACTAAAAAGCGCTTATAGGTGTAGGTGTGAGTGAAATGAATGCCCATACACGCATGTCATCTTTATGTGAATCTGTCACGAGTCTACAGTCAACGACAAAAGTGTAAGCGAAATTGATTTCTTTTTCAAATTGTTTTTACATTTATTTTTTTAATTTGTCTTTCACATTAAGAAGCATTGATCTGATTTAAATGATCATTTAGATAGTATGAGAGATCAGCTACATGGTGTACTGTGGAAGGAGACTCTGTCTATATACATCTAGATTTTTTAAAATTAAAGTACTTTTCCAAGCAAAAATAGGTTTAAATACTCTCCAGTATTTCACATTTCTTAACTAAGAAATTAGTGCTAAAATAAAAAGAAAATACATCGATCAATAGAGAATTTGACGTACTATCAGATTATAAAATATTTCGTTGCCAGAGTTGGTCTTGACCTCAAAAACCTGATTTTAGTCAGAATAACAAGAACAAAACAGACTATTTTTTTGGTCAAAATCATAACAAACAGAAAAGTTAGCCGTGTTTTCTCAAAACTTTATTTCAAAAAGATGGACGTCAAAAGCGGATAATATTCAAACTTCACATACTCCACTCTGTACAGTTTTGAATACGCTTTCCAATGGTGTAGAATACGTTGCGATAAGAGGGTTTTGTAGGAACTAATTTCATTTTTTCCAGTTCTTCTCACTAAAATTAGATTTTTGAATTGAAAATTAACTCTGGGAACGAAATATTTTATAATCTGATAGTACGTCAAATTCTCTATTGATTAGTTTATTTTCTTTTTATTTTAGCACTAATTTCTTAGTTAAGAAATGCGAAATACCAAAGAGTACTTATACCTATTTTTGCTTGGAAAAAAGTGCTTTAATTGTAAAAAAAATCTATACGTATAGACAGAATCTCCTTCTATAGTACACCGTGTAGCTGATCTCTCATACTATCTAAATCATTATTTAAATCAGATCAATGCTTCTTAACGTGAAAGAAAAATTAAAAAACACGTTCACTTACGCTTTTTGTCGTTGACTGTATCAGTATGGTTCCTAGTTGCCCGTGTGAGAATAGAATAGAAGTGAAATTCATTACTTTCATTGAAGAGTCTTCTCTTCTCTATCCGACGTAATTTAATTAAAGGAAAGAAAAACAATTAATCATCGTAATCAGTGGATTCAATAGAAAAGCGTTGGATTCGACTATTATATTGATCGGCGACCTAAAGGTGGCCATGTTTACCGAAAGATAAGCCTACGGAACAATTCAACTGATTGGATCCTTTTCCTTTACCAATTCCACCTGCGATGATAGTGCCTTGTTTCGCTTCTTTAGACCAGCACATTACTCGATGATTATTCGTGTCTACTACATAAATAGTACCCAACGTATCAACAAACAATCCTTGAGGCGACGACAATTGTGTTAGAGCATCTCCTTTGCCTTGACCCACAGCAGCGACAATTCATTCTGTTGCACCTTTATTCCATTTCATCACGCGATGATTGCAGTAGTCTGATACGTAGACAGCCTGTTGTCGATCGACAAATAGATATATTGGCTCCTTGAGTTGATTGAGACCAGCACCTGGACCATTGCCACCAGCCACGATAGTTCCAGTTTTGTCTCCTATATGATATCGTCTTACTTCATCTTCGTTGGAGTGAGAAATGTAGAGTATCCATGATCATCCATAGCTGATCCCTAATACTTGATCTTGTTCAGGAGGATTCCTCCTTTAGTTGTGCCATTACGACGAGACCATCGTACGACTCGTTGATTCATATTATCATAGATAAAGAGACAATTAGTCTCTTTATCTATCAATACATCCGCTGGTCCATTCAATTGATCCAATCAGTTTCTTTCGCCATGGTTGCCAACTACCATTTGTCCATTCTTATCACTCATCTTCCATTGGACAATACGGTCATTCCAACAGTCAGCGATGATCATCGTTTAATCATCATCAATGAAGATTCCATAAGGGCAGTTGAGCTGATTCGTGGCATTGCCATTTCCATTGCCTCCAGCCACAGTGATCCCGTTTTGTGTCCATCGAGTATTGACTGGAATATTAGAAATGACTACAATAAGCAAAAAAAAAGAAAAGGCACCGTCAGTGTCGTTATCGATGAGATCTTCCTCTCTCTCAAAAGTGTAACGAATCAAACACGCTTCTTCTTAAAAAGAACTTGTTCAAATTTTCGAGAATTTCTTCGTCTAACATACTCTAAACAAGAAAAGTTCCTTTTGACAGATGAAAATTGACAAAAACTTTTTTTTTATTTCCTATGCAAAAAGAATTTCGTAACAATTCCATCATCTATATCACTCCTTCAGTCTTAACTCTAGTTGTTTCTTGAGAGATCCTAGTATAATATATGGAAATTCGTATTTTCAGAGACTATTCAAGTGTTTGTGATGACATTTTAGCTCTTATAAGATGGACTCTTCCAAAGAAACAAATCTGCATGTTGAGCATCATGCAAAGACGTATTTCTCGAAAGGGCAGCTTTGAAGTGCTAGCAAGACTAACGCTAATCTGATGAAAAGTCTCGCTAGAAAAAATATAGGGTTCTGAGGCTTGTATTAATAATTTCGAATGCAGAATCCTAGCCAGATAATCAGAAAGAGTAGTAGCAAGCTTGAATTTCGAAAGGCGTATATGAACATCGGACAAAGATTTCAGCAATAAGATAACGACCTCTGTCAAACTCCTAAACTGAAAAATCATGAAAAGATTCTATCGGAATCCTGTAGTCAGGATCATAAGAATAAGGATTTAAAATCCATGGAAAAAATGTGCATCTTATTCAGGATGTATTTGGGATAATCCTCAGAATTTAATATGCAGCTTTCAGGATGCTATCCACCAGTATCTGACAAAATGCTAAATCACCTGATTTTCTGAATTATGGGTGCAAATCTAAGTTTTTTGCCAACTTATATAAAGCTCTTACAAGGATGATTCTGAGAGGTTCTTAGCAAAATCGTATAGAACGTTTGTATGCATGCAAAGCTGAGGAAGCTTGACAAGACTCCACACGAATCTTTGGAATTTGACGCCTTCTACTAAAGACAATGTTTTTTATCTAACGAGAGGAAGAACACTAACTGTATGATTGACTTGAATATATATCTACGTACACTGTTTCGATTTATATTGAAGCCACGAAACGTCCTATTTTTTCACAACGTATGATTCCTATCTCAGAAAGAAGGAAATACTTGAAAATCTAAGAATGCTGAAAAAGTACATAGAAAAAGAAATCTTAATAGAACAGTCAAATATGAAAAAAAAGTAGAAAGGGTAGAACAAAATACACAGATTTTGTTAAAAACGGAAGAAGCGTCAGATTTTTTAGAAACTGAAAGAATATCTGAAATCGAATAAATTCAGACTGATTATGAATACCTAAGGAACTGGAAAAACCTTACGAATCAATGGTATACCACTGCACATTATTGCTACGGACACAACAGGAATCATAAGACTGATTGACGAAGAGAATACCGCATGCTGAAGAGTGTAAGTTCTGATTCATAAAAGAATGTTCTCTATCGGCATATAATCAAAAGAAGAAAATAAGGAATGCCAAGGAATCCAGTCGAAGGTTAACTTTAAGGGATTCCTTCATCTAAATAAATGATGATGCCAGTCTAGTGAGCAATCAATGTGCATGTTTCCATGTCGGACATCATCGCTTATCGACGTGTCCAAGACACCATAAAAAATCTATCGTTCGAAACAAATCTATTGAGTCACATCGTTTGATAATGGCAAAAACATAGTTTGTCAAAAGTAGTTTTCATGCAACATTCAAGATTCTCGCGACTTCTCTGCATTGCAACAGTCGAAGCTATTGAAATAAGCTTAACATCAAATCAGAGTCGTCTGGAGACTTTCGCTAAAATACTTTTCATGGTGTCTAATGTCAAAAACTAATATCCCTCAAATAGACCAGATTTACTTATTGGCAAGAGTCAGGAAGCCTACAATATCCTACGAACTCTAGAGACTGAAGACGAAGATATTATGAAAACAATCTTGGAAGATCCCATGAGCTGCTCAAACTACAAAAATTCAACGAAGTAAAGAAATTCAGAGATTCTAAGCATACCAATGAAGTTTAGGAACAACGCATTGAAACAGAGAAAACCATGAAACACAAGAACACAAATGTAGACAAGAAATGATAAAAATGAATAGATATTTACTTTGAAGAGACATCTTTAAGCACTCTTCAGTGTATGATGCGAAAATTCAATACATCAACCTGTATCTTCTACTTGAGA